TTTCCTCTTACATTGGTGACCAGCATTCTTAATGATAAGTAGGAAGAAATCTCTTTACATTAATGGTCAATGGGAAGAATGAATGTCCTTAAACACAGCTAAAAAGATCATTAATGAAGGAAATGCTGCAGAATGTAAGTCACCAGCAAGGAAGCCATTGGCTTAGCTTATCTAGTCAAGATGGAAGTGACACATGGAAGTTGGTGGAAGTGAAATGATCTGTAAATATGAAGACTGTGGCAGTTTTTGAAGACTGGAACCATCCTGAATCAAGGCCACAAAGCTATCGAAAGCACACATACGGTATAGTGGAGCTGGAATTCTGTGGCACAACTTGCAGGTTAGAAAAGAGATACTCATAGACCAAGGGGAGGAAGCTTTAATAAAAAATCAAGGGACATAGAATCTTTTGACTGCATGGAAACCAATGCACATATGAAAGTACAGTATATTCTACAATGAAACATTGGTCTGCTAGGTTAAAGATTTTCCCAGAAAATGGGAATTGGTCAGAAACCAACATATAGTAAAAGTTGGACAGGAAGATGGCAATGACCTAGATATGACCAAGGTGTGTCTCTTGGAACATGGAGTACACTGGGAGCACTAAGTAAACTGTTACAAATAATGAAGAGATAAAAAACAGTATTCCAGCATCCATAACGTGGAAAGTGAAGGAATAATTCAGAGACACATACAATATTGTACATAAAAATCCAAAAATAAAAGTGTGGGACAGGTAGATGAGAATTGTCACTTCAGACTTGTTGCATGACCTTATGATACGTGTGAAAAATATGCTGTTAACTTACATCACAAGAATGATGCACTTATTGAACTTAGACTTAAGCAGGATTTATCAATAAGTCCTGGTTGTAACCGTTATCAAATTATTCGGCAATAAAATATTCCTTAACATAACCACATACTGTACAATACTTATTCTTATTAGGGAAGCACATCAAAAGCTGTCAACATGGCTTTAGATTTTTATCTTTCTCCAGAATTAAAAAAAACAAGAAGGCCTGTTAGATCAAAGGAAAGTTCGGGAGGCCGCACTAAAGCACATATCCATTTTATTGTTTAGAAAATCAGCTTAAAAACACCAAGACTGTCCATCTTTATATTTCATTTGCTATGATTTTTCCCATCCTCAGTATACATCATCTATAGTCTATATACCATCTATAATACTAAGATCTGTATAAAAAAAAGAAATATCACCTATGGTGGCAAATACCACAAAGAATAGATGTTCAGTGCTCTAATATTTTATCTTACACAAACACAGACGTAGACTGGCATATCCTAAGTGCCATTACCTCAAAGGCAAGGAAAGAAACTTGTATACATAAAATAAAAGCAAGGGAGGAGGTGTGTTATAATGAGCAGTTAGAATAGTAAAACGTATACAGTATTAAACACACATCTAAAATGATATAAAACATACTAAATAACAACAGAAAAAGTTACTTCCTAGGCAAGTGAAATATTTTAAATATCTGAAAAATGTTATCATTCTATTCTATATTATAATATAGCAGCAAAGTGAAACAATATCAAATGTTTTTTATCTAAGAGTTTATGAGAAGAATTAATGTGCTCTTGAAAAGTATCCCCAAACCACGAGTGAGAAAACGTACCGTTCAGAATAGCAGCTTAAATGTTTATGAATGTTACATCCGGGGTATCTTTCAAGATGGCTGATACAAGAAACACACAGAAGTACTATAGTGCAAAACTTCACAGCACTGCACAAGAATCCCACAAGCAGCAGAGAACGGAAATAACCCTCTTACCATAACGTGTGTTTGAGGAAGTGACTAAAAACATGCAAAGATTTAACCAAAAGACAGACACTTTTGTACTTCAAGCAGGAGCGCAGATATCATAGCGTTCCCACTGATATCATGTCCTTTTCAGATTATGCCATTGTATACAAAATGTATAATCAATTTAAAGCAAAGCTATTTTTTTTTTGTTTTGGATAGAATGGTAAAGTGTTAAAACCTCTCATAGTTTTTATTGCTGTCTATGTCTCTGCTAGAGAGCTTTAGTATCTCTGTTTTTTATGGTATCCACTGTCACTGGGACTGAAAATGAGGGGAATTTAAAATTTTTGAGTTGACACCAGAATAGGAATAGAGAGAACATCTTGTCCCGGTGACAACTTTTAAGAGGGGAGTTCCCTCAGTTTGTCAGGATTTCTTCTAGCTTCCTGTTACATATGCAGGACAGGAAGTAAAGTTAAATCTCCCTAATAGCACACAGATGGCACTTGGGTTCTACATCCCATACAGCAGGGATCTTCAAACTGTGGCCCGAGGACCAGATGCGGTCCTTTGCTTGCTTTCATCAGGCCCTTGAAGCACTATTCCTCCCACTGATATGAGGCACTATTCCTCCCACTAACACCAACAATATGGTTTAATTCCTCCCATTACACCAATAATGTGGCACTATTCCTCCCACTAACACCAAGAGTGGGATACTATTGCTCCCACTGACACCAACAAATGGCCACTATGGTCACCGCCTGTCTGTTTCCATCTGACTGTTATCTGATCCAATTCACCAGATGGATGGGGAACAGATCCCCATCTGTCTGTTTTTAGTGTACAGCAGTGGTCTCCAAACTGCAGCCCTTTGCTTGCTTTTATCCAGCCCTTGGGTCACGTTTCGCCACATTGTTAGCAACAATGGAGCATACTGTAGTTCCTGCCCTTGACACCTACAATGGGACATTATTTCTCTTACTGACACCAAGCATGGGGCATTATTCCTCTCACTGATACCAACAATGGGGCACTATTCCTCCCCCTAATACCAAAAAGAGGACACTGTTTACTTCCACTAACACCAAGACATTTCTACTCCCGCTGGCCATAGTCCAACCCTCCTAAAGTTTGAAGGACAGTAATCTGGCCATTTGTTTAGAAAGTTTGGAGACCCCTGGTGTACAGGATCGGATTGGATGTTGGCAGGTGTCAGCCCCCCCCCCCCCCCCCCCCCCCCCCCCCCCCCCCCCCCCCCCCCCCGCACACATGTCCACTGATACCCACCGCTCCACAGAGAGCTATGGATTGCCTGATCGGGTTCACCTGAAAGACTGACAGGTGGACCCAATCGGACCGTCAGTGTGAAAGGAGTCTTACAGTATAAGCCCACTAAGATAAAACAATATTGCATCCACTTTTTGGATAAGTTGAATGAGTGTTGAGTTTGAAAAAGGCCTATTGTTATGAACAGAGCCAAATCATCTAATTGGAAACCTAGAGAGGGGCCAATGGAATAGCATCCTTCAAGTTCCTGCCTTAAAGTAGAACTAAAGGCAAAACCTTTTTTTTTTTTTCATTTTGGATAGAATAAGGGAAGGTTAGAAACTCTGTGAGTTTTTGTTTCTGTCATATGTATCCCATTTGGGAGATTCCACTTCCTTCCTCATAGCCAAAAATGGAAAAGAGAAAAAAATCCATCCAAAGTGAGGTATTACCTGGTTGTCACCAGGTTCACAAGAACCTGTGTTTCCCTATTGAAAGTTCTCTCCTCTCTATTTCTGTTCTGGTGACAACCCTGAATTTGGGATATCCTATTACTTTCACTCTCAGTGATAACAGTTAACCGGAGAAACAGAGAGGGTGAAGCTCCCTAACAGGAGCACAGGCAGCAATAAATACCTTACATCTGTTCTAACCCCTCTCTACTCCACCCCAAAGAAAAAGTTTTGCTTTTAGTTCTATCTTAAAGAACATCTATCATTATATTTTTTTAACATTCTCCCCCTATTAGATAAAGTACTGTATATGCTAGGCGCTTGTCAGCCCTTAGCTATGATGTCTGAATGGCACTCCCTCCCCTCTTGCCACAGCAAATCTGACAACAGCTTGGAAGGAGAAGGCTGCTTCACAAAGTTGGCTTGTCTAGGCTCTTCGCACCTTTCTGAGACAAGTTCTTCTCCAGTTAGGCATATTAAGAATTTTTTTAGCTAATGACAAAGTTGTTTTAATCATATATGTATGCATATGTGTTCCCTCCCAAATTCACACACCACTAGAAACCTAGATCCCTGATCTTTGTGAAACTAAAATTTCTACTGTTCCCCATCATATCCTGGCAAAACAGGCTGGGACTTGTAGTTTCACAAAGACTTCATAACTGTAACAAATGTCGGAAATGTCAATAGAAGCAGAAGCTGCCATCTTGCCTTGGGCCCCATTTAGTCTGTATTCAGCTCTGGTTGTGAAGAGCAGTGTAACAAATGTTTCTGATGTATGAACATAAAATGCTCAGGATGTGCATAATGGAGGCAAGCAGAAAAGACATGTAGCAAATCAATTACAAAAATGCAATGCTAAATTAAGGAAGGCAACATACAGGACTCCCCTGAACTATATGAATGGAATTACAACTGCATTAAATCCCCAAGCATTGGCACATGTTTGAGAGGGTACATGGACGTGCACGATATGAAAAAAACAACCACTAGCAGTGTGACCTCTCAAGCAACAATTCCCCTTCATGCACCAGAAGTTCTTGTATAAAGTACATACCTGCATAAATCTGGAAGTTAAAAAGAAATAACAAGTTCATCAAGTTCAAGTAGCCATTACCCAGTATTTCACTGCATGGTACAACTACTTACTGTGTGATCATGCTACAGTTAATTATCAGTGTACTAATATCTCTCACCAATGGCTTATGTTCTATTAAGTAGCATAAATAAAGTTACCCCAGTTTCATAAGATAACCATTAGTGATATGATTACATCTCTGTTTTTATGAATTGCTAAAATTCCTTACATTGTTACGTATTTCTTAACCAAAAATGTTAAATCCTGATACTTTATAAACACACAAATATAGAAATATTAAAGCATATCTAAACCCACAAACAAAATTGATAGTATTACAGCCCAATGATCCTTAGATGTAATGGCTGCATTAGATTTCTTTTTTTTACATTTTATTTTAACCCGGTAATCCTATCATTATCTCGATTTCCTAGGGCAGGGGTAGGCAACCTGCGGCTCTCTAGTTGTTGTGGAACTACATTTCCCATGAGACATTGCAAAATTGACAGATACAGCTATGACTTGCAGAGACATGATGGAACTTGTAGTTCTGCAACAGCTGGAGAGCCGCAGGTTGCCTACCCCTGTCCTAGGGTGACAACCATATTGAGCAGCATTGTCACCATAGGATAGAAAGTGTGTTGGGACTACAAAACACCTCCTGCTCTTCTCTATAATAGGAGGTGTTTTATAGTCCTAGAAGATAGCAGGGAACAGTGCTAACTGATAACAGTCTGGAGGCACAGAGCAGAGGAAGTTCAGCTCACAAGATCCCTTTAATTTGGACAGATCACTAAATATTTTTTTCATATTTATTAAATGCCTAACTGTAACACCTACTGCAGCACTTCTCCTTTTGACTTGCTGCAAAGTTACAGCCTGAATGATCACTGGGGAGAGGAGACTGAGTAAAGAGAAGCTCCAATCCTCCTCTTCTCGGGTCCCCGCTGGCACTTATGGTCCCTCGCCAAGTGCCCACACAGCAAGCTGCTTGCTCTGAGGGCACACATACGTGCTCCCTCCCATGCCAACCCTGCCCCACACTCCCTCCTCACTGGCTGTGATTGACAGCAGCGGGAGCCAATAGCTCCCACAGCTGTGTTTCAGCCTAGGGGGAAAGAGAGACCCAGGAGAGCCACTGCTCTCCTGCACATCATTGGATCGAGACTGGGCTCAAATAAGTATTAGGGGGGCTGGGGGGAGAGCTGCACACTGAAGGTTTTTTACTTTCATACATAGAATGCATGCAGGTAAAAGACCTTCAGTCTTTACAACCATTTTAATGATAAAAGGTATTTTTTAAATTGGGACATGTCAGGAGTGTATTTGTGCATGCTTGTAAAGTTACTGATAGATCCACTTTAAGGGTATATATACATGATCCATGGAGAGAATAGTGGTACTGCAATCCCATTTTTGTGTCCCGTTTGGGTAAATTTGCTGAGGATTACACTTTTGGAAATTAGTATCTGTGCTTTTATATTCCCTTGTGTGTCAGTTAATGCTGTCATACTCACTAGTTGTAATGAACATGAATTTTGTGTACTCAGACTGCGCTGATGTAAAAACCCAGAGGTACCATGAAGGGTGACATGTTTCCTTATTTCTGCTGAAGAATACCTGGATAAAACAAACAAAAAATGTCATTTGTTAGACCCTTCTGCCAATACAAATGTCAAGCCAGTTTTGAAACATAAAAATGAATCCAATGTTATTTCAAGATTCACTATGGTATTAATTATAAGAATTAGCAAGGCAAGTTCCCCAAAAAAGCAGAGACCATAGGACTAGCTTTGGTTTCTTGTGTCAGAGCTGGTCTTCTGATAACTGGAGATCTGATTACTGGTGGGGTTATAATGAAAAAGTAGCAGGAAATGTGCGGCAGCCACAGATGCACAGAAAAGATGGTAAAGGATCAGGGAGATCACTATACTGTAGATCTTAAGGTCTCCAGAAACGAGAGCAGTGAACAGGACTGTGGTTACATTACACAATATCAGCACAAATCTCCTGAAACTAGCCTTAGATGATCTCACACCACAGATAAACAGCTGTGAGGCTCATCACACATGAGTGCCTAGGCACAGGAAGTGCACTGTTCATTTTTAGGAAAAAATATGGACGAAGGTTAAAAAACCTTTTTAATTAACTTTTTTTAATTTTTAACATTAACTTTTTTCACTTTTTAATATTGGTACATTAAAATGGCAGACTTGGACTTTTTTTTTACAAACTCAGAGATGGTGCGGCCTATGACAAATCAAACAATAATCTAACAGTAATGTAACACTTGAAAGACCTTTTGAAAAAGCTGTAACATCTTTCCCATGCTAGATAAAACATTCAGAAGACAAGCTGACATTTTGACAGATTCCCTAGTTTGTCCTGTTAGTGGTATTTACAGAGTCATACCTTTTTTTTTTTTGGTTCTTGGACATAGTAAGGTGTTCTGCATAATGATAGCAGCCTAATCATTCATGGATCAACCTATCCATTGCTGCATATTTTCTTATCCTCCTGCCACACCACATGGGATACAGATGCTGATATTGGAGTACTGGCCTTTGTCACAGGGGGCTCTGTCTGAGTAAAGTGGGCTGTATCATTTTACTTAGAACAACTACTGTATTCTCAAACAGGGTTCTGTTGAACCTTAGGGTTCCTCCAGAGGTTGCTAGGGGTTCTTTAACAGTAGCTAACTGACCTCCCATTTGATGGTGCCTCCATAGTTGTAGGGCCAATGCCAATGCAAAGACAGTAGCATAATACCAATTGTCTTTTTAGCTGTTTGAAAGAGGGACGTTCTGACCATCATTGTACAGGGCATTTTTGCCATTGAACCCCAATGAACTGGTATTAGTAAGAGATCTGCAAGATCTAAAAATCAGAGATGAGACCACCCTCTACAAACAGACACTTAAAGGTACACCAGTAACATCTTGTATACCCTAGATTTTCTGTTTATATACAGCAGTATATATAGCCCTTTTACTTCTCTTCAAGAAACCAAGGCCAAATATAGCCACAAAAGATATTTTAAAAAACTTAGCTAAGATAAATATAAATAAATAAGAAAAAAACACAAAAATTGTTACCAGGTAATAAAAATGAATAAATAAAACATTTAATGGGAAGCTATATCACTTTATGCTCAGTTATGTTTTTGGCTTGATTACTGCCAGTTGCACCACCAAGAGCCAAGAATTTCTCTTCATTCCCATACCAAAAGAATACTCAAAGGCAGGGGTGTCAAACTGGTGGCCCTCCAGCTCTTGCGAAATTACAAGTCCCATCATGCCTCTACCTTTGGGAGTCATGGTTCTAACTGTCAATCTTGCAATGCCTCATGGGACTTGTAGTTTGGCAACAGCTGGAGGGCCGCCAGTTTGACACTGTGCTCTAAGGTGACAAATTTGCCAGGGCTTTTGCATCTCCCTAGTCCATTACCCCAACAACTTTGTTAAAGAGGAACTAAACTGTATCTGAGCACCTCAAACTGAAAACAATATTTAAATAATTTTTAATATTCAGAGCAAACTTAAAATGTAATGCAGCAGGTGTTCATAATCAATTCAGCTGTACAATTTTGGAAAGATTGTGGTGATATTATGCTATTGTTTGGTACTGGAAGTCAGGCATGGATTGTGCCCTTGTCAATTCAGAAGATTTGACTACAATTATTGCCCCCAGTCAGCTGGGAGAAAGAAACTCACAAGCAGGGTTACAAATACTTGAATTCCTAGCATTCACTTTCAGTGCCCATGCTTCCTCTTGGCAGAAATAGTTAGGCACACCCCTTCTACAAATGACAGATGCTCTAATGCTTGAAAGTCCGTAATTAAAATGTTTATCTGGTGACAGGTACACTGCTGTAGAATTTAAAAGGAAATCAGCCATCAAAAGCTTGACTGAGCCAATACACTGCATCCTTACGGTGCTATTCCTGCTTCCACAGTCTGTCTAACAGGACTCCTTCAAGGCCTGTCTATACACCACTCTTATAGCTCCCAACTGTCCCTCATTTGGAGAGACTTTCCCTCTTTTGAGAACAAATCCATCTGTCCCTTATGCAGCTCTCAGGAGCTCAGTGAATTCAAGCGTGGTATCATGATAGGTTGCCACCTGTGCAATAATTCCATCTGTGATGTTTCCTTGCTACTAAATATTCCACAGTCAACTGTTAGTGGTATTATAACAAAGTGGAAGCAACTGGGAACAACAGCAACTCAACCACGAAGTGGTAGGCCATGTAAAATGACAGAGTGGGGTGAGCGAATGCTGAAGCGCACAGTGCGCAGAACTCCACTGTCTGCAGAGTCAATAGCTAAAGACCTCCAAACTTCATGTGGCCTTCAGATTAGCATAGAGAGCTTCATGGAATGTGTTTCCATGGCTGAACAGCTGCATCCAGCCTTACATCACCAACTGCAATGCAAAGTGTCGGATGCAGTGGTGTAAAGCAGGCCGCCACTGGACACTAGAGCAGTGGAAATGTGTTCTCTGGAGTGACGAATCATGCTTCTCTGTCTGGCAATCCAAAGGACGTGTCTGGGTTTGAAGGTTGCCAGATGAACGGTACTTGCCTGACTGCATTGTTCCAAGTGTAAAGTTTGGTGGAGGGGGGATTATGGTGTGGGGTTGTTTTTCAGGGGTTGGACAGTGAAGGGAACTTTTAAGGCATCAGCGTACCAATTCATTTTGGACAATTTCATGCTCCCAACTTTGTGGGAACAGTTTGGGGATGGCACCTTCCTGTTCCAACATGACTGCGCACCAGTGCACAAAGCAAGGACCATAAAGACATGGATGAGAGAATTTGGGGTGCAGGAACCTGACTGGTGTGCACAGAGTCCTGACCTCAACCTGATAGAACACCTTTTGGTATGAATTAGAGCAGAGACTGCGAGCCAGGCCTTTTGTCCGACATCAGTGCCTGACCTCACAAATGCGCTTCTGGAAGAACAGTCAAACATTCCCATAGACACACTCCTACACCTTGTGGACAGCCTTCCCAGAAGAGTTGAAGCTTTTATAGCTGCAAAGGGTGGGCCAACTCAATATTGAACCCTACGGACTAAGACTGGGATGCCATTAAAATTCATGTGCGTGTAAAGGAAGGCGTCCCTTGGCAATATAGTGTAAATACACTCACCAGACACTTTGTTAGGTACACCTGTTCAATTGCTTGGTAACACAAATTGCTAATCAGGTAATCACATGACAGTAACTCAATGCATTTAGGCATCTAGACGTGGAGAAGACGGCTTGCTGAAGTTCAAATAGAGCATCAGAATGGGGAAGAAAAGGGGATTTAAGTGACTTTGAACGTGGCATGGTTGTTGGTGCCAGATGGGCTGCTCTAAGTATTTAAAAAAACTACTGATCTACTGGGATTTTCACGCACAACCATCTCTAGGGAAATTTTGTCCTATTGTCCAATTTTGGTGAACCTGTGCAAATTGTAGCCTCTGTTTCCTGTTCTTAGCTGACAAGAGTGGCACCCGGAATGGTCTTCTACTGTTGTAGCCCATCTGCTTCAAAGTTCGACATGTTGTGCGTTCAGAGATGATATACTGCATACCTTGGTTGCAACGAGTGGTAATTTGAGTTACTGTTGCCTTTCTGTCATCTCGAACCAGTCTGCCCATTCTCCTCGGACATTAACAAGGCATCTTTATCCACACAACTGCCGCACACTGGATATTTTCACTTTTTCGGACCATTCTCTGTAAACCCTAGAGATGGATGTGTGTGAAAATTCCATTCGACATCTGCTTGTAGCCACTGTCATCTTTAGATAGCATCCATCAAGGCTCTCCAGCAACTGTTTTGAGGAGACCACAAAAACAGTGGGGCATTTATCAAGCCAATTAGTGACATACTTATGCAGGTCATACATGGGTCGAATACCGAACAAATTTTCTTTAGAAAATCGTGAATTTCGTGCATTTTGTAATCCGATGGCACCACCACTGATTTCGAAATTTGACCAACCAAGCCTTCAATTCCACCTCATGTTGCTACAGAAAAGAATTTGTAGTAGTTAGCGATACTATAGTGATTGCTGCTAGCTGGGTCCCATGTTGAGTGGCTGAACTGCTGGTTTTTGAACATAAGAGTTCACACTCGCTCTGCAAGGGCACCATTCAGGGAACACATTGCTTTTTCTCAATAAATGCAAAACATTCTCTGGATGAGGAGTGAGGCAGGGTGGTGACATCACGATCTCCACCTCATCCAATCACAGCACCCATTTAGAAAAATGGAAAGTGATCACTGTCCTAGGGTGACAACTGCACCAGCGTTGTCACCCTAGGACAGGAAGTGTGTTAGGAATACATATAAACCTCCTTCTTTTCTCTGTACCAGTGGGGAGGTGTTTTGTAGTCCAGGAAGATAGTAGGGAACAATGCTAACAGTCCAAAGGCAGAGAGTACAGGAAGTTACCAACTCAGAAGATTTCTAGCTGGATAAACAGCCTTTTTTGCATTTGTGAAACAGATATCATGTAGCACTGCCCCCTTAGGAGTTGTGGAGTTTTGGGTCCCCCTACAGTTCTGCAGTACCAGGCACCAGGCATTTGCTTCCACACCTGCACACTGGAGACAGTAAACAGTCTTTGGCTTGGTTTTGTGATTTTATTAAGGGGTTTTGAACTTGCATGGGGTTGAGGGGTGTATGGGATGCCCAAGGAAACTGTGAACTGTGAGAACAAACTCCTTAGGAACTATGTACAAGCTCCTTTAAAGAGCTCTCTATCTCATACATAAGAGCTGTCCTGGCACCCATCCCAAGCCCCCTGCTTGGGGATTGTCCAAGATTTCTTAAATATGTAGATCAGCCCCTCCTCACCCCCACCCACTAACCTCTAGAAACATCTCTGGCTTCTAAAGCAGGGGCAGGTATCAGGGAACTGACCTGCAGAGCTCTCAGCCCTCGCTTGCATCTTCCTGGAGTTTGCATGTTCTCCCTGTGTCTGCACGGGTTTCCTCCGGTTACTCCGATTTCCTCCCACACTCCAAAGACATGCTGGTAGGTTAATTTGCTCCTCTCCAAATTGGCCCTAGTATGTGTATGTATGAATGTGAGTTAGGGACCTTAGATTGTACACCCCTTGAGGGTTAGGGACTGATGTGAATGTACAATATATATATGTGTAAAGTGCTGCGTAAATGGACGGTGCTATATAAGTACCTGAAATAAATAAATAATTGTATATTTAACAGAACAAAAGGGAGCAAGTGAGAGAAATGTATTGTTAGAGATTACATACACAAAGGGCCTGTTCACACCAGAACATGGCGTGTGAAACCCACGTTCCATGTGCATTTCCTGCACCGTGTTCAAAACACAAATCAAGTGCACTTGCGATCTGCAGCAATGGCACTCCAAGCACAAGTTGCAAACACAGTGTGTTTGACTGCACCAGATCTCATGGAACAGAAGTACCATGCAATCCAGTTGCAGTGCATTTTATTTTAAAGTAGTGCATGCACTACTTTTGTTGTAGTGCGATTTTAGCCTATTTAAATGAATGGGCTGAAAATGCACTGCACTCAAATTGCACAGGAATCGCACAGCAACATGAGTGCATTCCTGTGCGATTCATGATGTGAACCGACCCTTTTTCTGAATTATCCAGAGCATTTGTGATTTACATTATTTTTGTCCATGCTTTAATATTTACACAATAGTAAGTGGATCTTGAAATGTTGCATAGCTCAAGCATTAGAAGGGTGTAAAATAGTCGCACTCATGTCACTACCTGTCATGGCTTTACAGATAAGTAGCTAAGTCAATAAGAAATATCTAACAGACACACGTGCTGGCTTCCAGAGCCTGTGTGATGTAAATCCTCAATCTCTGATCTGTTGGCTTGTGCCTCCATTAGCTATTGGACTGACATTTCCAGCAACAAAACATTTCTAGCAGCCATAGAGATGAAAGGTTAGATTTAAAGGTACCTGCAGCATCTTGGAATGAAAGATACCTCCGAATATTGCAGGGGACAAAAAAAAAGGAAACAAAAAGTGTGGCAATTCTGTGTGTACATTGCAACAAATGTGATGTAAGGGCTTTCAAATATCTATTTCCTCTGCTAACCACAGTCCTTCTTAACGGGAAAATTGTGAAATATCCTGTAAAGGACCCATTATACCAACCTCATGCTTTTTGATGGACATTTCTTGCCTAACAGACAATGATCTAATACACACTGCTACATTTGGAAACTCTTCATGCCCATTTAGATCTATGGCAGGTTTAGGCAGGTGTGTTGTCATGCATCAAAGTATGTTTCCTTTGTGCACTGCCATACATTGTGACATGTATTGAAGCATGTTTTCAATGCGTTTTTGAATTTGGAATTTGGAGTGGATAGAGTTAACAGCCATTGACCAAGGCTTGATAATAGGTTG